TGTGAAAAAGTTTGTATGCCCACTATTATGTATCAGGCACATTTGTAAATATGGGAGATATGCTGATGTATAGCACAAACTAAAATTTCTGCCCTTGTGAGGCTTATGTGATAATGAGAGAGACAGAGGGACAATAAGCAAGATAAGCAAAATGCATAGTAACTAGTTAGCAGTAAGTATTAAGGAAAAGATTAAGAAATATCGGAGACTGCTTTCTTTGATGAGGGATGTCACCACCACACCTGTGACAGAGTAACAGACATTTCTACCATTCTAACAAAAATATTAGAATATTTCCAGTGATAGTGACTGTCTACCTCAGAAGGTAGCTAATTGCTTGAATGAATCTCCAACTGCTGAAAGATCTTCTTACACAGAAATCAAACATTAATTTTTCCATGTCCAAACAAAAACTGTCAACTTAATAGTAGCCTGATGGAGTAGAACATAAATCACTAGAGTTTTACTACTCAGGATTTTAAGGAGATCTCAAAAGTTCCTTTCTGACTTGCTTTTTTAATCATGGTTATGTTTGATACATTAAATGCTAAGAAAATGACAGTATTACCTTACTTCACTCTTTACTTAATGCTTCATGCTTTAAAAAATATGTTCACGCCAGCGCCGCGGCTCACTAGGCTAATCCTCCGCCTTGCGGCACCGGCACACCGGGTTCTAGTCCCGGTCGGGGCGCCAGATTCTGTCCCGGTTGCCCCTCTTCCAGGCCAGCTCTCTGCTGTGGCCCGGAAGTGCAGTGGAGGATGGCCCAAGTGCTTGGGTCCTGCACCCCATGGGAAACCAGAAGCACCTGGCTCCTGCCATCGGATCAGTGCGGTGCGCCGGCCTCAGCGTGCTGGCCGCGGCGGCCATTGGAGGGTGAACCAATGGCAAAGGAAGACCTTTCTCTCTGTCTCTCTCACTGTCCACTCTGCCTGTCAAAAAAAAAAAAAAATGTTCACATACATTATATTGTGCTTAATCCTCAGAATAAATTACAAAAGTATAATGTCTCCATTCTCTAAATGATGTGACCAAACCTCAGATCTTTTGCAGTTAGAGAATTCAGATTTCCCAGAATCCTTTTGCAGATGTATCCATTATATACCCAGGAGAAATGAAAAAATCTGGATATATTTGGACCATTTGTTTCATTCAAAAAATCAGGATCTCTAGGTCTAATAAGGCAAAGGAAGTGTATCAATTTTTTTCTGATGATTTGGTCTTTAAGGTCATCTGACTAGTTTTCAAAAAGCAATTTATAGTCATAGACAGCTTCAGCTTATGATTGAGAATAAACTTCCTAATCATTTTTTCCTGTTAAATATTCCTGTTACTAAGACATTACCAATTTGCGTATGAAAAAGAAAGAAATAGGTTTAGATTTTGAAGTGTTTAAATTTTGAAAAAGCATGTCACCCATATGTTTTCTAGATGCTCATCTCCCTTTATTTAGGTAGAATTGTTTACTCATTTGGGGATGTTCTGCTGCTTTAAAACACTCAGCAAAAGCCATTTCTCCTCTGGGAAATGTGAATTCTCTAACTGCAAAGGTCACTGAATAATGTCAGTCTGAAGATAGTGATAGGAGAGTCCCTTTAATGTTCCTAAGGTATAGATAGGCCCTACTGAATTCCCTCTTCTAAACACAGAACATTCTTTCTGTGATTTAAAAAGATATTTTCTTATTTATTTCAAAGATAAAGCAACATAAAGAGAGGGAGACACACAAAGAGAGATAGAGGGAGAGAGAGGCAGAGAGAGGGAGAGAAAGAGAGAGAGAAAGAGATCCTGTATCCAGTGGTTCAATTCTCAAATGGTGGCAAAAGTCTGGGCCAGGCCAAAGCCAAAAACTTGGAAATGTTTCCTGGTCTCCCATGTGGGTGTCAGTGACCCAGGTACTTGGGCCATCTTCTGCTTCCTTCCCAGGCACATTAGCAAGGAGTTGGATTGGAAGCTGAGCGGAGTGCTTGAACAGGGACTCTGATACAGGATGCTAGAACTGCAAGTGGTAGCTTAACCTGCTGTACCACAACACCATTCCCAAAGCATCCTTTCTTAACCAATGACAAGGACATTGAATCCAGTCCTATTAAATTCCTTGTTGAATAGAAAAGGTTCCTGAAAGTTTCCAATGCGCGACTCTGTCTAAACCCCTCTGATGACCTGGGCAACATGTGATCCTGGGGAATCAGCAGCCCAGAAATCTCCATATTAATATCAAATTACAATTTCTAAGTCTTAAGGAAATAAATCAGAAAATCGTAGGCACATGGGAATAGACCTACATGCTTTAGTATTTCCTAACTATTCTCTTAATTCCAACTGTTGAATATTTGTTGTACTAATTGGCTTGCTAGATAGGGAGATAAGTGTAACTTTTAATAAAAAAATAAATTGGCCGGTGCCGCGGCTCACTAGGCTAATCCTCCACCTTGCAGCGCCAGCACACCGGGTTCTAGTCCCGATTGAGGCGCCGCATTCTGTCCTGGTTGCCCCTCTCCCAGGCCAGCTCTCTGCTGTGGCCAGGGAGTGCAGTGGAGGATGGCCCAAGTACTCGGGCCCTGCACCCCATGGGAGACCAGGAGAAGCACCTGGCTCCTGCCATCGGATCAGCGCGGTGCGCCGGCCACAGCACGCCGGCCGTGGTGGACATTGGAGGGTGAACCAAAGGCAAAGGAAGACCTTTCTCTTTGTCTCTCTCTCTCACTGTCCACTCTGCCCGTCAAAGTAAATAAATAAATAAATAAATAAATAAATAAATAAATTGTAGGCCAGCGCTGCGGCTCAATAGGCGCCGGCACCCCGAGTTCTAGTCCTGGTTGGGGCACCGGATTCTGTCCCGGTTGCTCCTCTTCCAGTCCAGCTCTCTGCTGTGGCCTGGGAAGGCAGTGGAGGATGGCCCAAGTGCTTGGGCCTGCACCCACTTGGGAAACCAGGAAGAAGCACCTGGCTACTGGCTTTGGATTGGCACAATGTGCCGGCTGTAGTGGCCATTTGAGGGGTGAACCAACGGAAGGAAGACCTTTCTCTCTGTCTCTCTCACGGTCTAACTCTGCCTGTCAATAACAAATAAATAAATAGTAGATAATGTGTCGCTCTCCCATTCACGGAGGAACGACACTAGACCCTGTGCTGTTCTTTTGTCTGCTCGGCCCTTCCCGGGTTTGCTGCTGGTCCTTCCCGGGTTGGCTGCCGACCCCTCCACCTCCGTGGAGGGGCGGCTCCCCCTGCCACTTTCCCCACTTCCGCGGGGGAGCGGCACACCGCCGGCCGGCTCTCTCGGGGGCTGCTCAGATGTTATCCGGATGTTCCCCGGTGCATGTTGTCTCTCTCCTCCTTTATAGTCCTCTTCCACCAATCCCAACTCTGCTGCCCACACGCCGAGTACGCTGCTCTCCTCCAATCAGGAGCAGGATCAGCTCCTGCAGCTTGTTAAACTGATGAGGCAGCTGCGTAGAGGTTGTTTGGTCTCTTTCTCTCAGCACCATATTGTGGGAGAGCAGATGCATAGAATAAGTCTTAATTCCAGTAATTTAGTCTAGTCCGAGTTGCTCCCCACAATAATGTCTTTAGGAAAGTGCCTTAGTTAATTTTGTGTGTCCATAACAAAATACCTGAAACTGTACTTTACACAGAAAAGAGGTTTATTTAGCTCACAGTTCTGGAAATTCAAGATCATGGCTTCATCCTCTGCTTGGCTCTGGTGAGGGCTTCATGGCATATATAAGGGCAGATGTTAGCTTGCTGTTCTTGTAGCCACCCCTCTACTGGAAACCAATCCACTCCAGGAGACATTGTGAGGGTGGATCCCCTATGGCCTAACTTGTTTCCACTAGACCTCACCTTTTGAAGTTTCTACCATCATAATGCCAGCACACCAGGGGCCACACGTCTGGCACGTGGATCTTTGGAGGATAAATCAGAGCAGGAAAGGTGGTTAGGAAAATGCTAGTAGAGGTTACCGGCTGAAGGCAGGGAGAAGGATGGCTGGGGATATTTGGCTGGAGACAGGAAAAAAAAATCTAAAAGACAATTAGCTTTTGCCCCCTTCAATGGCTAGTGTAAAGCATAAATGATGGGGTCTTCCTGCCACTGGAGCAGTTATCACCGGTAGCAGTCACGTGGGTTTCTCATAAGAAGAAGGACCAACAGGGCATCCCTGGTAAGAGCTTCAGAAACTGAGAAAGTCTTTATGAAAATACTCATCACATCTCCCTACCTGCCAAGGTGAGCAACAATACACATTTATAATCCAAAATGTGATATTAAAGTGAGAGAGGGAGTGGTGCTTCCAGTTTTATAAACAACTACTGAATTCCTGTTTACTTCTATCGATCATGTTAAAATATCTTAGTGGCCAGAGATCCATATTTGATATGTCAGACATGTTTTGGCATGCCAAGAAAGGGCACATGCTAAGCCATGTACACTTAAAATCTCATGAAGGACAATGAAATATTCCTGGGGCTGTGTGAATTCAGGTGCTTGTATGGACTTCGAAAACAGATGTCTGCTACAACATACATTCATTTTCATCAGATATGATCACTCATTTTACAAACAGTTCACAATTAGCAGCACTGCTACAACATTCTGTTAATATTTTGAGAGCCCTATTATTCACCTTCATCTTCACGGAGATTAAATCTATCCATGAGGTGAGGAAAGAGACATGACTTTTTGCTGCTAGGGTAAAAGATGGCATGCCTTTAGCTGTTTAATTTGGTGTTAAGAAGATACTGTTTTCTGATGACTATCTTGTAAGAGTACAGGATATTCTATAGTCTACAGATAATCTACATTTTGAGGAATACAGGAATTAACAGTTGGATGCATCACTAATTAGCATTAAAATATTATTCTTACACAAAAATGCATTCTGTTTACTCAAGTAAATTTTCAAATATCACTTTTTTTATTTATTTATTTTTGACAGGCAGAGTTAGTGAAAGAGAGAAACAGAGAGAAAGGTCATCCTTCCGTTGGTTCACCCCCTAAATGGCTGCCATGGCTGGCACGCTGCAGTGATCTGAAGCCAGGAGCCAGGTGCTTCTCCTGGTCTCCCATGCCGGTGCAGGGCCCAAGCACTTGGGACATCCTCCACTGCCTTCCCAGGCCACAGCAGAGAGCTGGACTGGAAGAGGAGCAACCGGGATAGAATCCAGCGCCCCAACCAGGACTAGAATTCCAGGTGCCGGCGCCACAAGCAGAGGATTAGCCTAGTGAGGCGCGGCGCCGGCCCAAACATCACATGTATCAGTGTGTGATTGCAGAGATGTAAGCATTGGGAGAAAGGTTTCCTAAGGACATTGGAAAGTGCTTTGTGATTTAAACGGACATAACTAGAACTTGATTCTCCAACTCCAGGAGCCCCAGTTTCCTCCAATAGAAATTGTAGACCATCATAAAACCTCTGCACATTTGTTCTGAGTCAATAAAAGAGAGAATCACAGAAAGTGCTTAGTACCCAACATACACTCAAGAAATGGCAATTCCTCTTGCTACAATATTATCTCTTTTTTTCTCAGTTTTGCATATAACATTATTTCCTAATTCTCTTCTTTCCAGATGAATGACATTTTCACTGTTGTACTCCTGTCTTTATGCCCTTGATGTTAACTGATGGCTGAAGCAACGTCACCACTTTTGATAATCTATTATTAAATTGAATTGTTTCCTAACACCTATGTCCCCTGAGGCTTTTTTAAATTTGGGGGTCAGGGTCAGGTACAATTTATAGGTAGTATTTCCTACACACCTGTTATATGTCCAAAAATTGCCATGAGCTTCACAAATATTATGATCACATTTAATCTTCATAAAAATCTACACACAATCATGTAGTACCCTGGAACCTAAAGCTTAATGGGAGTCTATAATATATATAGATAGAAGAGCTGACTTATAAAATTCACTGTCTGCATTATTGTAGAGAAAATAGTTTTCCATTTAGAGTAAGCAGAAGGAAGGAAAAAAAGCAAAAAAAGCAGACTCTGAATAATGAAAAAAAAAAGAGAAAGGGAAATTAATTATATATGAGGTTCACCTGATCCAAATTCCTACTATGTACTTATTAGAGAGTGTTGAGTTGTTTAAGCACATTTTCGAAAACAAATTTTAGAATGTAAGTTCATTTTCTACTCTTTTCTATACCTTGTCATGGTATAATCTGAGTTCTGTTTGTTAAGAATATTGACAAAACACAGCAGAATGAAAGCCCAGGCATGGGAGGGTGCAGCATATCCTCTGGGGAGCAGATGTGGCTGCCTTGGAAGGCTTCCCCCGCCCCCGAAGTGTAAGGTATCTCACACTCGGCTTCTCTAGCTCCAGCAAGCCCAGCTTAAAAGACAAAAAAACAAACCAATGTGGCATATCTATCACTTCCCTCTGAGACATACCACATGCTACAAAACATTTTGAGTAATTTCCTTTTAAGCTTGACTCCTCCTTAGAGGTTTTCCAGGTAAACAGCATGAGATTGGGTTGCGTAATAGATAGTAAAGAGCACGGGGTGTTTTTACTTCACTGTTCGTATTAAACTGAAACCACAGCAAATAAGGTTAATTTAACAGTGATTTTGAGCATCGATGTAAGAACGAGGCATTACAAAGGAATCCTAGTATCTGGGAAAATCGCATTCATCTATCTGCTATTTCCGAAAAGTAGATTTTACATTAAAATCTCTATACCCAGATATGTGTGCACAATCCCAGGCAAAGTTTGCTTCTATGGCTCCATCCACACAGGCGCACTATGATTGTGTCTTTTTCTGCAAGTTTTCTGAGGCTGAAGTTTCCTAGCTTGGCAACAACGTGCCACAGACAATATTGGTTTAAGACAATTGATTCTTCCTCTGATTTTTTGCACTGCACTCCAACGGGTCTCCATCCAGAATCACGAAAGAAAGAACTGCAGGGACAAGGAGGGAGGGAAGATGCAGGGAAGGGAAGAGAGAAAGAAAATAAGATTACCTACAAAACACTCATGAAAAACCAACATTGTCAGAACAATCGCTGTCACTTGATTTAAAATGGCACGATTTAAAATTCATAATTAAATCTATTTTAACTGTGAAATGTACAGATTTTGAAAGATTTATCTATTGTAAGAATGTGAATACTGTGAAAGGTGTTTCTTTTTTTTCTCTTCCTATGTTTTAACCTTTGAGAGTAACTTTACCCGAAATTATGTGAAGTTGTAGTTGTCAGCCATATCCAATTAAAAATGCTAAGCCAGGTTCATCTTGAAAGAGACACTGACAACATCCAAATACATATATATATATATATGATAAATTAGTTATTGTCAAAGTGCTTGCACCTCATTATTGGGCTTATACAACAGTGTCATCTAGTGGACACTGGTCAGGCAGGTTGTAACCAACATTCCTGAAGGAGCATATTTAAAAGGAGCTAGCCTTGCATGAAAATATGCTTTGTCTTTTTCAGTTTAAAACTGAAGCAATTTAAATAATTGTTTCTGATCCAGCACATCATTTCAATTCATTTTTCTTCCAGAATAGTAAAGGAATACATTTTTACATGCTTACAGAAAGAAAACTAATTTTAAGATAATTTTTGTTTTAAGATAGCAAAGAACAAAAGAAAATAACAAAATTATTATAAAAGGTAGATGTCAGGAAATGTATAGCAAATAGGAAGAGGAAGTTGGAGCTGAAAGATTAATGAGCAAGGTTATATTCTTTAAATCTTAGTGCATAGTGCTTACATCAACAATGACAAAATAAAAGAAGAGTATGGAATTCCATAGTCTTATTTCCAAGCCTTTCCTTTCATTTCTCTAGTACTTTGTTGGTACAATTGTGTAGAGGTATCTCTTAAAATTCTTTTTTCAAAAATGTATCATCTTTTAAAAACCATTAACTGCTATCCATTTTGAACATTAAATTGTTGTTTTATGAAAGCCACTTTAGCTTTAATTTTTCACAGTTGGTAGAATTTGCTGAAAACATGGCAGAAGTCAGACATTTTGTCATTTTATCAAAAAATATGGACATTCACTTTTAAAATATCAGTATAAGTTGTATGTCTTTTTTACATTAAGACTATCCAGAGTTGGCCGGTGCCGCGGCTCACTTGGCTAATCCTCCGCCTGCGGCGCCGGCACCTCTGGTTCTAGTCACGGATGGGGCACCCGATTCTGTCCCGGTTGCTTCTCTTCCAGCACAGCACTCTGCTGAGGCCCAGGAGGGCAGTGGAGGATGGCCCAAGTGCTTGGGCCCTGCACCTGCATGGGAGACCAGGAGGAAGAACCTGACTCCTGGCTTTGGATTGGCACAATGCGCTGGCTGTAGTGGCCATTTGAGGGGTGAACAGACGGCAAAAGGAAGACCTTTCTCTCTGTCTCTCTCTCTCAGTCTCTCTCTCTGCGTATCCACTCTGCCTGTCAAAAAAAAAAAAAAATTTTGTAACATAGAGAAGAGAGATGAAATGTAAGTAGATATTCTTAATGACTAACTTTTCAATTTTTTCAGCATGAATTTTCTTCAAAAAATTCTTTTTTTTCTTTTTTCTTTTTTTTTTACAGGCAGAGTGGACAGTGAGAGAGACAGAGAGAAAGGTCTTCCTTTGCCATTGGTTCACCCTCCAATGGCCGCTGCGGCCGCCGCGCTGAGGCCGGCGCACCGCGCTGATCCGAAGCCAGGAGCCAGGTGCTTCTCTTGGTCTCCCATGGGGTGCAGGGCCCAAGCACTTGGGACATCCTCCACTGCACTCCCGGGCCACAGCAGAGAGCTGGCCTGGGAGAGGGGCAACCAGGACAGAATCCGGTACCCGGACCGGGACTAGAACCCGGTGTGCTGGCGCCGCAAGGCGGAGGATTAGCCTAGTGAGCCGTGGCGCCAGCCAATTTGTTTTATTTCAAAGGCAGGCTGAGAGCAAGAGCAAGAGCAAGAGCGAGAGAGACAATCTTTCACCTGCTGGTTCACTCCCCAAATGGCTGCAATGGCCAGGGCTACTCCAGGCCTAAGCTAGGATGCAGAAGCTCCATTTGGGTCTCTGGCATAGGTGGCTGAGGTCCAAGTATTTCAACTATCTTCCACTGTCTTCCTGGATGCAGTAGCAGGGAGCTGGATCCAAGATGGAGCAACACAAGTATGGGATGCCAGCGGCTGAACCCACTAGGCCACAGTAACACCAGTCCCTTGACTTCATTCTAAAACTACTCAAAGGTAGAGTATTCTTTAAAGCTCATCCTTCTTTCAAAGAGAGGGGAAGGAAAATTAAGGCTATTGATAACTATAAAATTTCCATTTTTCAAGTATCTACATCTAATTTCTATTCCAGGTCTGTAGAGATCATTTTATACATATTTGGCATCTTTGATAGTATTGTCCTATTTGGTTAAAAAAATCATCCATTAAAAACAGGTACTGATCACCCTTTGACATGAAAAAATATGTTTTTTTCCTGTCTGATATTGTGAAGGTTCTTGCTCATGTATTCTTCTATGTTATTAAGAAAATATTAGTTGTTTCTTTGTAATTTTAGGTAATGTAAAGACCTAGAAATTCCGAGCATTTGAAACAGACTATTGCTTCCTCAGTAAACAGAAACTACTTAGCCAATCACAATCACTCTGACTTTTACCTTTCTTTATAGCAGTAATACAAACAGATTAAGTAAAAATTCCATCTTCCTTTGGAATGTAACTTTTATTGGCTATAAAATCAAATTTAGAAAGTTTATGTTTCAGGATACAATATTTTCATTGATTGGTTCATAACTTTCATGTGAAATCCACTAATTATCTATAGTGTATAATCTGTCTTTGTGGAGTATTTGCAGGTTATGTTGTTTTGAAAATGTTTTAAAATCGCAATACTTACGAATTAATATAGAAGAATGTAAATTATTTGAGTCTTCAGGAAGAAAGAAAATCTACATTTGATGATAACAGAGAAAGATAAATTCTTACCAAATTTGCATAATTTTTATTTTTGCTGAGTAAATTACTTCGTACTCACTCAAAATTGAATTGGCAAAATAGAAAACCAAACTGGTATTTGGTAGGCGAGCCTCAGGTTTGGTGTCTTTACCGGAATCTTCTCTCATCCATCAAAAAGTGTTGATTACCTATGAAAATGTATTAAAGGCATCATGATTGGGATGGAAAATGTGATACATGTTCTATGTCCTTCCCAAATCTTACAATACTGTTGAAGAGATAAAACATACATGAGAGAAAAATTAAATAGCAATGCAAGATTTAAGTAACAGTTTAATTTGATAATAGACATGTCACAAAAAGGTTCATGCTCATTTATCATATGAATAGTACTCCAATAGAGAGAATCTGTCTGTAGAGGGATATTCTGTCTTAAATCCTGGACTAGATTCCTAATGAAGGTCTTTATAGGGCAGATGTACAATTAAGAGAAAATAAATGACATCTCTAACTTCATCATTCATTTCTACTTCTGCTTTTAATGAGTATGTTAGTGATATCTAGAAGCCAACGCTGTAGATGCTAGCTTTTCATTGTAAGTGGATGATATATGCTTGATTTCTATAAAAATACCAACTATTACATGGGAACAGGTAAACGAATTGTTAAAAAGTGAACATTTAGGCATCATATTTGGTAATTACTGTATACCACTTGCCTAACATCTACTCTATCCCCCACTAACCTCATAATTGATCTTTCTATGTAAAACACTAATACAATATTTTATTAGAAGTTATTTTTATCATTATCACACGGTCATGTTTCAGGTGAAAGTTTTATGAGTTATTGATATGTCTAAATTTCTTTTTCTATGTATACTGATGATGACTGTGATGATCCATAAGACAGATTAACTTGGTTTTGTAAATAAATTTCCCTAGTGTATTCTCTATTATCTAATCCTTACTTTGAATCAAATATTCCCCATTTTCTTATAGCAAAATTTACTCCATGATTTACCAGACACTTCTATTTTAGCTGAAATAGAATGGTACTATAGAGTTTAAAATTAGATGATATATATTTCTATGAAGGAATAAAGAAATCAAAAAGAATTTTCACTTAGATTTTCTTATTTTTTTTAAAAAAAACTTTGAATTTAAAATGGTGATAACTAAAATTGTTGCAGGACCAATTTTAGAACATATTAAGATAAACTTCACAAGTAGTTGTTGGAAAATTTAGTCATTCTTAGGTGCTTTTAATTCAATCATTCCTTCGATCATTCATTCAATAAATGTTTATTGATTGGTACCAGGTGAAATACTTGTAAATCAATATGGAAACCTATGTCAGTTCATTTTCCTAGTGTTTGTACAGTGGATATAGAAGGTAGAGCCAGGAGCCTCTTACCTCACAACACCCTTTGTGGAATAACCCAATTTCAAACAGAGAGATTTAATAGTATCAATAATAGTCCAGGAGGTGCACTGATAACTCATTAGGCCACTTGTAAAAATAATACTTTGGTTTTTACTTTTGATTATAGAAGTTATACTGCTTTGTGTACAAAATTAAAAAATTGTATCTGAGTTTTTGAAGAAAATTCATGCTGCTATAATCTAATGATCCAGAGTGAAGAATATCTACTTACATTTCATCTCTCTTCTCTATGTTACAAAATTTTTTTTTTTTTTTGACAGGCAGAGTGGATAGTGAGAGAGAGAGACAGAGAGAAAGGTCTTCCTTTTGCCGTTGGTTCACCCTCCAATGGCCGCCACGGCCTGTGCGCTGCGGCTGGCGCACCGCGCTGATCCGATGGCAGGAGCCAGGTGCTTCTCCTGGTCTCCCATGGGGTGCAGGGCCCAAGCACTTGGGCCATCCTCCACTGCCTTCCTGGGCCACAGCAGAGAGCTGGCCTGGAAGAGGGGCAACCGGGACAGAATCCGGAACCCTGACCGGGACTAGAACCTGGTGTGCCGGCGCTGCTAGGTGGAGGATTAGCCTATTGAGCCGCGGCGCCGGCCATGTTACAAAAATTTTAACATATTTTTAAAGTCATTTGTTTTATTTATTTGAGATGAAAAAAAAAAAAAAACAGAGACATAAAAAGAAACAGAGACAGACAGACAGATACAGGTCTCGCATACATTGTTTTATCCACTAACTGCCTGCAATAGCTGGGATTGCAAAAACCCAGAGCAAGTAGCTCAATCCAGGTCTCCCATATGGGTGACGGGAATCCAAGTTGTTGAAATCTTGATCTTCTGCCTCCTAGGGTGTGCATCACTAGGAAGCTGGAATCAGTAGGAGAGTCACAACTCGAATACAGGTAGTTGGATATAAGATGTGGTGTCTAAAAAGGTATCTTAGCTGCCAGGCCAAATGCTGTCTCTTACTTAATAAATTTTAAACAAAGCATACACATATATTTTATATAAGTATTTAAGATGTATTTTATAAAATATATAAAGATTTCTGCATCTATATATTTTGTTTACATATTTTCTTTTAAAATATATTTGTGCATACATACATGTATGATAGTACTTCAAAAAGTTCAATAATAATACACATTATGAAAAAACTATCCATAGGTTTCAAAATATTTTTGCACCAAATTAAATTCTTACTTTTAATTGCATTTTCCACAGATTTTTTACAGTACCCTTACATATAGATATACATTATATACAGATATGAATATAGATATAGATGTAGATTATGTATATATATATATTTCTCTAAACTATGTAAATTTTTGTTTTTTGATGTTTGATCAAAATTAAAACCATACAATGAATTACGTTTCTTTTTGACACATCCTTAAATGACTGAAAGAATTGATTTGGCTTTCAGAAAAAACAATTCTACCCCAAAGTAAATCCTGTCACAGATTATCCAAAAGGGCACAGAGGAAGCACTTTCTCTTGTATGCTTGGGGAACATCCATTTCCAGGACTCCAGGGAGAAAGGATTTGCTCACTTTGTGCCATTATGCTAATGAACCTTATCATGTTACGTGACTGGTTGAGGCCAACTGCATACAGTCCTTTAATATGCTCTGGGGAGGTTCATCCTTAAGTATACAATCTCCATTCTGAGTAAACTTTACTCCACCTTGATTCTGGGAACATAGGTTTAGAATTTGGAGGAGACTCAAACTACTGTTCTCTTGAAACCAATGCATAGTTACAGCCAAATTCCACTGTCTTGGAATATCCTATGATACTGGCACAGTCTCTGAGCATTCAATTTTGTGAGAAGGAACACTTTTAACCGAAAATTAATTAAAGTTTATTGAAGACAGAATTTTCATTGGGGAATGGCTATGGTGATGGTGAAGGGGAAAAACGAACAAATGGTTTCCTGAGCAGGAATGGCCATCCACAGACATATGTAGCTGACACTAGAAAGCATTGATTGATAAAACCCAGCCTGCAAGACAACACTCTGTGTGGTGAGACTCAGTAGTTTAAGAGGAAAAGCAGTCTAGAGCAGGCTACTCTTTATGGAGAAGGACCATTCTGCTTCTGAGGAAGGTACATTGACAAAGGCATTACGCAGCCCTGCTACTATAAATCTGTGTACCATCTTCAACTCACGTGGCTGCTTCTCAGGGGTTCTTTAGCCACTCGGTGACAACTGCTGATCTGCTTCGCAAGTCCCGGCCACTTAAAACAGTTTTTATTTGGGAGTCCAATACCATGCAATCTGTAACCTTCAAAAAATTGCTTTCTGGGAAAGCTCTAACCTCTATCTTTGTGTGACTTCTCATCTGTAAGAGTAGCTTTAATACTGAGCACTTGACCAACTTTTCTGGCTTCCAATTACTACTGCAGTTTAGTACGTTTTCCTTCCAAGAGTGACTCAAGAGTACTGAGATAGGTGTTGTGTCATCAGTCACTGCCTGACTTTTCTCCTTCAGCGTGCTTCCAACAGACTCTAAGAGGCTTCTGTATTAGCTTCGTGTCCCCACAATGACATACCCAAGGCAGTCCATTTATGGAGTGCAGACATTTATTTAGCTCACAGTTCTGAAAGTTCCAGGGTGTGGTATCTTCTCAGTTCTGACAAGGGCTCTCTCGGCTGTGCCGCATCATGGTGGATGACACTAGTGGAATCTCTTGCAAGAGCAATCACATCTTCATACAGGAAGTCGGAGAGAGCTGGGCATGGTCAGACAGCTTTTATAGCAACACTGTCTTGAGAACTGCCAAGAGATCATACAGGAATTATTAAAGATCTCCCACAAAGTGACTGCAGATCACCCACTACGCTTCCCACCACCTGCGAGCACAAGCATCCTGAGAATGAATCCTCCAACACACGAACTTGTGCAAGGGACACGGAAACCATAACTGCTTTCATCCGAGAGATGATAAAGGTCTGTATACATGTTATAAGTTTATCACAATAATGGAATAATAATAATAATAATGTCATCCTGAAAGAAATTAGAAATTGCCACTTCTCTGGAGTCTCAACAGCATTCTACTTTACATGAAGCTAGATGAGAACTCTTATTTGTAAGACTCTTCTGTCATTCATAATCCTTTTCTGCTTACTACTCTGTATCTATAGATATTATGAAAATGTCAGCTTATATCCAGGTCTATCAGATCATATGTTTCTATAATTTCAGGATTGTGTCAATAGTAAACATATATGTAAAGATTTTTAATGTAGTCATGATGGATGTAGTCTGTAAGCAATAATTCTTTAAATGTAGTAAACATTCTAATTACAAAAAAAAAAAACAGGGCAAACTAAATCTATGCTTTTAGAAATCTGGGATTGATTAACCTTGTAAAAGGAAATTAGCGGCTTTGGAGAGCTGGTTTAGTTTCAAGTTGCTTCACCTGGGGGCTCCTGATATGGATGTGTTTAGCTGAGCACTACCCTCTGTGCACTTTCTTCATTATACCTCAGTAAGACAGAAATATTTCTCCAGCACCTTGCAAGACTTACAACCGCTTCCTTGTCTCAGGTGGGCAATGGGGGATATATCTGGTAGCTATAAAAATGAAATTAAAGGATTACTTAATGACATCAATACATTTTACTCAGATGCTCCCCGGAGTGCTTAATATTTACATTACACAACACTATGTTCAACTAATTATAGATGATTTAATAAATATGGGTACATATCCATATAAAGGTTACACATAGATGCGTTTATGAGAACTTCAAAAATTCATGGAAAGTACAATTAAAAAGATGTTTCGTTTGGTGCAATAAATTTTGACACCTAAGCAGAGTTTTTCCTCATATGCATTTTCCACAAACTTTTTGAAAGATACTTTATATATATATAGACTTCAATATTTTCTGTAGCAAAATAATTTCATTTTAATGCCATTTCTGTAATTTTTTGAAGTACATTCATATATAAAACATTTATAACTGCAAAATGCTACCCTAATTTTATCAACTATATTGTTACCTATATAAACTAGATATTTTGAAAGAAATCTTGGCTCTTACATATATAACAAGTTAAAAGGTCAAGATTTCAATAAATACTTTAAAGTGACTCCCATTTCAAAGTGTATTCATTCATTTACTCAACAACTACTTATATCATGCTGACAGATGAAGAAACAAAGGAAGTAAAATATGACTCCTTCCCAAGAATTCAAAGTTGTATGAAGACAGGCATGTAAATACATAATTTCAATGGAATATACTAAGTTCAATAAATGAAGTCTATACCACATTAAACTAGTGTAAATGAAGAATTTATTTCCTTTCACTAGAGAGAATAAGAAAATTTAGTAGAAAATGAACCTCTTGAATCAGATATTGAAATTTACATAGGTGAAAAATCAGATGAATTAAAAGTCTGAGGAAAACTTTCCAGGAGAATGGCAGATGTCCTAAACAGCACTCTGGCCTCAGAATCAGCCCTTAAGGCATGCAGATCATGCCGAAAAGCCCATGAGAGTATTTCAGGCATGGAAAGCCAAGATACTCTGGGGAAAAACAAACAAACAAACAAACAAACAAAACTAAATGAAAGATCTCTGCGAGTGAGATCCCAGTGGAAAGAACGGGTCATCAAAGAAGGAGGTACCTTTCTCTGAAGGGAGGAGAGAACTTCCACTTTGAATATGACCTTGTCTAAATATGATCAGAGTCAGTGAACTCAGGGGGCTTCCATAGCCTTGGCAACTCATGACTAGAGCCTAGGGTGATTACTGATGCCATAAACAGGAGTGTCAATTTGTTAAGTCAACAACAGGAGTCACTGTGCACTTACTCCTCATGTAGGATCTTTGTCCTTAGTGTGCTGTACATTGAGATTGAATGCTATAACTA